CACACACACACACACACACACACACACACACACACACACACACACACGGATCTCTATCCTCCGTCTCTGCGAGCCTGCTCTCTGGTGCTGAGAGAGGGGCCCCCGGGGACCCCAGTGTTATTACAGAGGTACTATTGTAGTGCTCCCCAGATTCCTGGACGGTCACATACCTCTGCAGGGCCCAGATAGCCCCGCTCTCGTTTTCTCTCTAATCAGCAGACCTTTTATCCCGGGCCGGGCCTTTCAGTACCAACAGAGAAAGATGGAGAGAGATGAGGAGGGCGGAGGAGAGGAAGAATGGAGGGGTGAGGCTGAGGCGCATAGGGGTGGTGGGGGGTGATTGGGGGTTCTTTTGCCTGCCGCTCCAGTTTAATTGCCCTGACAGCTCAACTTCGAGCCTCTACTTAGGCCTTCCAGTTCATAGTTGGCTTTGGAGCAGGAATGAGTGAGTGGGAGGGCGGAGATAGAGAGATAGAGCGATAGAGAGAAAGCGAGAGGGAGCGCTGTGCCTGGGACACTGCTGCAAGTGTCATTCCAAACCAAATGAGTCGAGATGAGGTGTCCTCATTAGTGGAAGCAGCTCAAAAACCGACCTCATTTGTGCCCAGTAGAGGAGAACAAAATGACTAAACCAACAGTCTGACGGAACAAACGGGAACAGTGTGGACATCAGGGAGCAGGGCAAGTGTTGCACTTACGTTGCACATCTCTCGCACAATGGCCTTCTCTTTCTCACTGAGATCGTCCTCATAGTCCTCAGGAACCTGCTTGTCCAAGTTCTCATGGACCTCTAGCACCTTATGACAAGTACCATTTTAGTTATGTTATAGGGAGCAAAATCAAAACTTCAGAAGTATGTCTTTTCCAAACTTGTTTTAAGCTGTGATAAGCAACATCAGCTCTTTCACTTACAAATGTACTTTTGAATTCTTATTATTCTGAGAAGGTTTTAAACTCAAGTTGGAGTATTGTTATCATCAGAGATGGGTTTCTTTTAGAACAGAAAGAATGAATTTAGTTCCAACTAAATGTAAAACGTTTGACTATAGCATCAATTTTGCACTTAACCAAGAAATATCCAACCATGTTATGCCTGGTTCTGAACCTGGAACCTCAGATTTGTTCAGCAATTCTTATTGGTCTAATGTTGTGCTCATGAGGATCTTTTCCCCGGTCAGAGACACAGCTGACCAATCAGGAGTGGGCAGGATTAAGATGGGGACCTCACCTTCCTACACAGCTAGACTACATTAATTTAAAAAAACTAAAAATGACAACAGCATGGATGAGATTGATGCAGCTGAACAACTTGCTGTAAGTCAATTTACAGAAAGTAAACTTTAAAATGTTAGTTTTCTTTTATCAATTTGAAAAATGTTACCAAAACAGGTTGAATGAATGAAGTTAAACTAAATGAATGGAACAATAAATGGGACAGAAGGCAACATGGAACAGTACAAAGGTTTGCTTCTTCTTTCAGTGAAAGAAGAAGCAAAGCTAGATTTGAACTAGTGCGATGGTGATCAGAAAAGCAATACATTGACTTGGTGAATGTAGTACCTTCATGGCGTGCACCACGGCCTCAGGCTTCTGGACGCAGGTCAGGTAGCCTGTGGCAGGAGAGGACTCGCTGGTTGGGAGACGTCCAGTACCCTGTGGGGGGGGAGAAGAGGGGGAAACTAAAGTGTTGTGGGATTTCTTCCAAAGCAGTCAGTGCACAACAAGGGTATGAGACAAGGGGGTGACCTGCAACAAAGAGAAATGTCTCACCCCATCTGCTGTCATATGGTTTAACAGGAGTCAGATGAGCTCCACCTCACAGAGCTCCTCTCAACCACTCTCTCCTTCTCAGTGGGTGTTTGCTTCTGATCGAACACGAGATATTTCTTGTACCGTAGCACTGAAAATGCCAGCCCTTTCCTCCCAACTCAAATCACCTCCCCTTGTGTCTTTCTTCACCTTCACCATGTATTCGACTCCCAGCCAGGTCTGCTACCTGCAAAGTGATTTTAACCTGGTGTGATGGGAGCAGCCAGCCAGGGAGAGGACCAGGGGTTTGCTTGAATCATCCTACCCCCGGTTAGTTCCAGACAGTGGCTCTCTGTTAGAGGGACACAGAGATCTCTGGGACACACAATGGCACCATTCACTGTAACCTGGCATCGGGGCCCTGCATTAGACACAGCTCCGTGGCTCTGTTAGCCCGGGTTAAATTCTCCGCTCACTGGTGATGCGTTTGTCAGCTCCTCCGCACCCGCTGACCCCATTTAGGTGCCAGAACGAGCCCACACAACCTAACAGCACAGAGATAATAAAATAATCCCACTGAAGCCAAGAGGGATGTTTTGTGGAAACTGACCAACAGTCTATTCATGTCACGTCAACCACAAGACAAATAGATTTGATGCTGGTCCTGCAGCTCATGGCCTGACAACGGTTTGTTTTCAATGTAAAACGATGCTTTTATGACATACAGAAAGGTCGGTGAAAGATAATCAGCATGCCTAAACTGTGAGAGAAAACAGAAACAAAGCGGTGGTTTTGCCCTTTTGTTTTCATGTAGAAGTTGATGTTATTCACACACAGTTACTGTATAATATTTATGCTGATGAGAGTCTGCTGCCATGAGGCATTTCATTAATGAGCTTTGATATCAGGAAATCATGGACAAAAGGAAAAGGTTAATACGAATTTGGGGATTTCTTGTCAAACAAAAGGTTCCACAGCACGCCCTAAAGTCTCCTGTGTCCTTTGAGTGCACCAACAACAATTCAAAACACTCACTACTTGCCACATAGGTATCATAAGAATTGTTTTTGAATCATAATATTGATGACAAAAGAAGCCAAAGTTGCAAAATGTCATTTTAAACGATATAGAGTTTATGATCAAGGAATTGGTAAAGACAATGAATAAACAAATCTGGGCCTTGATGGTCTTTGCTACTAAGTGGTGGAATGTAACAGAGTACATTTGCTCAAGTGACGAACTTAAGAATGTTTTTAAAGTATGCGAGTATTTCAGTTTTATGCTACTTTGTACTACTTTAAGACATTTCAGAGGAATATCTTTCACTTTATATTCCACTATTTAGCAACTGTAAGTTGCTACTTAGTATTGATGACCAGCCCTGCTTGCAAAAGCATTATTATGCAGTAATAGCATTACTTTGACATAATAAATAAATAAAGCCAATGAAATCCTTACTATAATTGAGTCTGTGAAAATTACTAGAAACAGATGTGTGACTGGAAGTTGGAAGTTATTTAGTTATTTATAATGGTGTGCAGGACTTTTATTTTGTAGGACAAAACATGCAAAACCACTGGCAAGTTCCTGTAGAGATAAGGACATGAGTGATGTGTGGTGGTAGGTATTTACTGTGAGTCACCCTCACATTATTAAATGCATCACCAAGGTCCACATAGTTGAGAAAAGGATATATCCTCTCGTTAAATAACTTGTTTCCCACTGAGTAAAGTGTGTTTCTGCCTTTCTGAAGGTCACAGTAACAAATGGAACTGCTTTATCAGATTATTTATATTGCTCTTCTGCAATGGACAATGGTCAACTACAAGAAAACAGTATGTAAATCACCGTCACCCTCTTTCGATGCTCTCTACTGTGGGTAAAAGCTATTATTTGAAATGTGCATGTGTTAACACTTCCTGCCAGCACCAGGTTCAGTTTGTTTTTGTTGTGTATTTTGAGCTGGAGCCGTGCAGCAAAGAAACAGATTTGGACAGCCAGCTCTGGGCCATGTTTACTGTTCATATGGATATAGAGTCGGGGAGGGCTCGCCTGCATAAACAGGTCTGATTTAGGCCTTGCTGGATGGGGGGGGGAGACAAACAGTTTCAGAATCAATGGTTTGTAGTTGGAGCAAACAGAATCAGAGCCAACTGTTGAGTGTTTGTGAGAATCACGCAGGCTGGCCGCTTCTTTTTGCTCATTTTCTGTCAGACAATCTCACTGACCTGAAACTGGGCCTGAATGAGACAAAGGGTTAATGTAAAGGATGAGCTGATAGATGAGGATCCGGCTCACTGGAGTTCTGCTGGTATAGTCTTTGGCTCCACGTCTCTCATGGTCTCTCTCTCACACGTGGGTGAACTTAGGCCACATTAGAAATCAGGCAATTGATCAAGTGTGTCTCCAGGGAGTTGTCATGACAACAAAGCCATCGTGAGAAGAGGACTTGAATCACAATAGTAAGTTATTCTGTACTGCATGCAGCTGGTATGCCAGCATCCTACTGTAAGCTGAAGTCTGTGCTGGTAGACGGGCGACCTCACGGTGACGCTAGGAGATAGTCCTGCATGAAGCCCCCCATGAAACCGTGATTTGTTTTCACACTAGAAAGATAGAACATGTTAACTAGTGAGGATTCAGAGGTGCTAGTACATGGACTGTGTTATCTCTGGGCAGAGCCAGGCTAGGTGCTGAGCTCGGTTAACCGGTTGTAGCTTCAAAAACACAAGTGATGTACCAATCTCCTCTCCTAAAACGTCTAACTATTCCTTTAACGTTACCCAACAAGACACATGTGTGTTTCCGTGGTAGAAAAATGAATACGTTATAAGTGAAAGTGAAATTGCAGCCTAATAGACCTTATTTGGTTTTTTAGGTTGGCGTTATTAGCATTAACTTTTGCTGTTTGATGATTTTCGTCAAGGAGCCAAAATTCAAACTTCAAGTCAATATCATGACCTTGTTTGTTGTGAAATGAAATGCGGGGAGGCAACCATCGAGATCATTTGCAGTTTAAATCCATCCTCCTGCGGGGGCAGACCTCTCGTGGGCTCAAGGTTTTCATGGACATTATTGAACGCCATGAACCTCCACGAGGAGGCGGGTTTGACCCACGAGCTTAAAAGGGTGCGAGCCGTCTCTGAACGCGGTCAGCCTGTGACCTCACACTGGGCCTGTGATTAAAACCCAATATTGATTTTTACACAGGGAAGATTTAGTCCTCTGGTTAGTGGCTGACCTGTGACCTTCCTTAAGCAGTCAGAAAACAATTACCCAGCCTCTCTCCTAGACACTGGCTGGGTCAGGAGTGGCGGTGGATTGTACAGGATTATTACACTCACAGTGGGATTCAGTTCAAACGCGCCCGGAGGGGAGGAAGAGAGGGGAAGGCTGACTCCTTTATTTTCCACTCCTGTCTCGCTGTCTTAGTTTCTCTTCTTCCTCTTCTCTGTCTCATGCCCTGCCTCCTTTCACTCTTTCTTGTTCTTCCTGCGTATGTTTTACTTCCTGTCAAGTGTAAGAGATAGTGAGGTTGCCTGTGGAGTTATAATTAAAGAATTAGAAGTAGAGTGAATTAGAGCTGACTTGACTTGATTCCAATGTGGAGGCACTGGTGTGTGTTAAGAGTGTGTGTGTGAGTGTGAGTGTGTGTGCAATTAATTCAATATATTTCGTATAGCCCAAAATTACAAATTGGCCTCAGAGGGCTTTACAATCTGTACACATCCTCCGACTCTCACGTTAAATTAAACCCCATCTATACGTAACCACGTCTGTATAATCAATGCAACGGTGATGATCTTTGAATGACTGTTAAAGTGGTCAGGTGGGAGTGGTGGACCATTTTAGGCAATGTGAGTCTGTGTGTGTGTGTACTGACCATGTGCATGGCGTCCTGGCGTTGGGGCAGTGAGGACAGCTGGGACTCTGAGTGATAGAGGGTCATTCCCTTCCTCAGGACACGAAGGTCACCTGTGTTAGACTGCTGAGAACAAAACACACACAAACACGCACAAAGAGACAGAGAGATATAAGGCGTCAGTGCCATGTCAATTAAAAAGATAATTAATACAAATTGTTAATCCAAAATAAGATAATGAACACGATCTTTCCTGTTACAGGCGATTCTTTAGCTCTTCCGCTTTTGAGGCTCAGTAATCAGTAATCATTTTTCATCATTACTGGGACCCAAGATCAATATATTGGCATCTGTTAGTGTTAATGCAGTTACATATAGACGAATTACAAATAGAATTAAATAGATGAATGTATATCATGTCTACATAAAAATGTATCTGTACAAAAACCTAATGTGTGTTAGAACCCGACCTGTACTGGACTTTTGAGGCAGATGATGATGTTATTACAACAAAATTGCAAAGATCTACTAACAATAAATATTGACCGATATACAGTTTTTTTTACTGTAATACATTTGAGTAGAGCCCGACCGATATCTGAAATCAGATTTGAATTTAATCAATTCAAAAACAATATATTCACCATTATCAATTTCTTTACTTCAACACAAACAAGGACGATGTTTAATGAAGAATTATCTTTAACCATAAACTCAATCTTTGTTTTTGTTGAAGAGAAGCTTCCTGGCTCCAAGACGTCAAGCCGTCACTCAAGAGCGTGTGGATTCTACTGCAGGCAGCTAATGCTAGCTATCCAGCTGCCTGCAGAGAGCCACGCTGGAGTTGTACCCTGGCTGTGCTCTCAGTGAGCATTAAAGTCAATTCCCTGTACTTAGTTGAAGCATTTGGTACTGACATTGTTGCAGGTCTGTTATTATTCTTGCTCAACTGTTTTGCACACATAATCCTAAAAAAACATAGATGTGCCATGTTTTAGTTGTTTTATATGAGCCAATGATAATGATAACGTATAAGTCTATATTGGTCAGGCTCCACAGTGTATATGTAGATCTTCGGCGATGGTTCATTGAGGACCCTGAGGTGCTGCCTCCTCCAACACTGGCACCTGCACTCTCATCGTCAGTCTGACGCTATTGCTTCAAGCACATTTGCAGAGCTTTTTTATTTATTGAGGCTTACAACATGAACAGCACTTCAGTACGCTGGGCTGTCTCACGCTGTGCCGTCATCGAGGGCCATTACACAGGAACAGAGCTCTAAGATTTGTCCTCATCAGCAGCCAAAGACCACTGCTTCCTGGAGGTGGTAAGCAGCCTAGCTTCTCTCTGTAGGCAGGAACACGGCAGCTCCACTGTTCCTTATGACATCTCTCATGTCACGCACCAGCGTTCCCTCTGCGCAAGTTGCGGCGTGTAAACACACGTGAAGCCCGGGAGCACCCGGGCAATAAATAGCCCAAATGAACCGTGGGTGTGCGTCTGTAAATGCGTGGACATCATGCTGTGGTGTCACAGTTTGCACACACACAAAGCTACAGTCAGCACTCCCCTTGTCTTCTCCGCTCTTTGCTATTACCCCTCTTCTCTTCCAGCTTTGTATCCTGCTCCTGTTCCTCTAACCTTTCACAATCCTTCCCTTGGCACTTCTTGGACTATCCTTTGGGTTTTCATATGTATGGCCTCAATTCTGTACCTTTGTTAGCATGTCTTTGTCATTTCTCCAGGCTTCGTGTCTATCAGCAAGCTATGCCCTAAATGTCACATCTGTAGGAGGAACATAGACACACAATCCATGGAATGAAAACATCTGTCAACTAAATAGGACAACTTAGTAAGATCAAAAATCGTCCTCTGACAGGGTTTCCAGCATCTGAAGAATAGATAAATAGATAGATACTTTATTCATCCCGCAAGGGGAAATGTGTTCGCTGCAGCAGCAAAAATATATTTAAGCAATCAAATCAGTGGCGGCTGGTCAATAGAGGGCAATGGGGCATGGCCCCACCTTGAGCCACAAAAAAAATAAAATAAAAATTATGATAATCATAAATTATACAAATTGTCAATATTTGTGTTTTTGAACTACGGAATGTACCCAGTAATATGTGTAAAATATGATATCTGCGCAAAATATATGCTTTTCCTGCTCGTCCTCTCCGCCTGTGTGCACGACACGTCTCAGAACGCGCAGCTAGGGGGGCGAAATCGTTTTTGCCCAAAAGAGGCGGGTCTATGAAGCAGTTTAGCCAATTGCTGATTAAAGATATAAATGAGTGACATACAATTTAGCTAATCAGCGCCCTCAAATAGATTCAGTGTTGTATTGATGCGCGTTCTCGTCAGGAGAAGTCTCTACAGGCGAGCGCGAGCGCGAGCACTCTCTGGTGAGCAAGTCTCGTTTGAGAGGAGAACTTTGGCGGAGATTCTGCAGGACAAAGAGCTGATATCAGATCAACCTGACCTCACAATCAGACAGCAGACTAGCGGGAAAGGGAAGCAGTACATGCGAAGCTTCTGTCCTAGCTGTACACCAGACAGGTTTGGCTAGCTGCATGACGTCATGCTAATAACTTATTTAGCTTTTTAAAACAACGGGGACAGATCCAGCACGGACAGTTAGGGAGTGAGGGATGAGGAGGTAAGGAAACATGAGAACACCAGGACACACATGGAGAACTCTGTCAAGCTACATATTAGGCAAAGTGAACATCTTCTCTTCTACATAGTTGTCCTCAGTCTCATCTGCTTAACTTGGTCATGGAGGCATCAACATGTGATTGAGATGGTAAATTATCAGTGAAAACTCATCATAGCTTAATTTAACATCAGTATTCATAATTACACTTCATGTTTACTTCTCCTGATCTTTACCTCCTATAACAAGGTCCATAGGGGCATCTCAATAAATAAACATGTTATATTATATTATATAAGTGTTATTTACTGCTTTTTTTCGTGTTGGAATAAATGTTAAATATTTAACTGCAAAGTAGTAATGCGTGTTTGATACTTTAATTTTTTTGCATTAAATCATACTGGGATGTTTGCTGAAATTGATAGGATGGCCCTACCTAGAAAACGTTCCACCAGCTGCCACTGAATCAAATATTCCACCTCTGCTAAGTCTAGTTTAACAGACAAACAACACACGTCTCCAACTTTACATCCATTCCTGAGTTGACCATGACCACTGAGACCAACAAAGCTATTTGTGCCTGGGACAGTTGGCCTTCTGCAGCCTTCTTGGCTAGCCCTCCACAAGATGATGCATGTAGCCACAAAGAGCATTTGAGACCACTTTTACAAAGTTCTTGTTATCAATCGACTGAATCGAGTCACCTGGAAACATAAAAAACTCACAGAGAAGCTTAATTAGCACGCTAGCTAGAGCTAATAGTTTTAGTTAGTAATTGAGAGACCTGCTTTTGTCAACCTCTGAAATCAAGGACCTGTTTTCAAAAGTTAAGAATTGCAAGATTTGTAAACCGCATTATGTGACCTGGAGAGGAACTAAACCAGGTTTCAATCACCTCTTTCATCATTCAGATCCACTGGACACTACCGCAGTCCAGCCTCACAAAATGATTCCAATTAGCCTGCAGAGTGTCATCTGATTCTGTCATATCAATCATTCAATTCTCAGAGTCACAGCAGACGCTTACATGTTAATGATAAAGTGGAAGTGAGCCCATAGGGAAAGCCACAGCACGCCTCACCCTTCAGTGAGCTAATAGAGACATGGGAGATCTGAGTGTACACCTCAGTGTATTTACACCTGTGCTGTGCAGGCCCTTGTTCATTTTCACTGAGGGACATTGCTGTTAACTCCCTCCCTTCTCCTTTATGCACAGTCAAATCCTTCAGCCAAGCTGGTTTGGAGGGTCAGCATTCCAGCGATAAGAGGCTATTGTTTCCTTCAGGCTTAGCAAGTTCCACTGGACCAGTTTCATAACACAGGAAGTTGGGCAATATGTCCATTGAGGCAACTAATCCATTGTAACAATTCCCTCTGCTATTCAGACTCTATTACTTACTGGAGTACACTTCTGTTGTCATTACCAATCTTACAATTGAATGGAAAGCAGAAATGATTAATAACACCACCATCAATGTAGTATTTCTAACTCCAGTTACTCATTCTTCAGTTGCGCTCACACACCAGTTGACAGCCATGCATTATGGGTAGCTGGATCTACCTGTGTTGTCCCCCGTACCTTAAATTATTCAGCCCATCAGAGATACCAGGACATGTGTGTATCATTTATGCACCAAAGCACAATGTAGCATTCATTCACCTAGGGTACCTCGTACCAAACACAGACAGCTCCAAGGACAGGAAATGGCATTCTTGCCAAGATAGACCACAAGCAGGGCCACGGCCTGTGCTTATTCATTAGCATAGCATGCTAGCAGTGCAAAGCAGGGACACAGAAGCAACACCTCTATAAGGTTATGCAATCCAATTCCTTTAGGCTCATAACACTGGCACTGCGTCACAAGGGTGATTCACTTCTATGGTAATGTTTGAGGCGGCACTTTGTTGTATTTTGACTAAATATTTGGTACACCAAGTAGGCCTGTGTGGCCTTCAACATTTTGGGAAATAAGCTCATTCACTTGCCGAGAGTTAGATGAGAAGATCACTACTCATGTCTGTACAATAAATATAAAGCTACAGCCAGCAGTGACTTAGCTTAGCATAAAGACTGGAAACCGCTCTGTCCAGAGGTCGACCATCAGCACCTCTAAAGCTCACTAACTAACATGTTGTATCTCTTTTGTTGTGTAAATGTCAAAATGTGGTTCTGTGCAGGATATTTCAGTGACTTCCTGGAGTATTGTGATCCTCGTTAGTTGCCAGGCAACCAGCAGACACTCCAAAAAATGTGCCTTTTTTACACTTTGGTTTTTGTAGAAATTCAATTGAAATGTCTAGAATTAGATTTCTAGACGTTATGCTAAGCTAAACTAACCAGTGCTGGCTGTAGCTACATATTTAGCACATGGGAGAAGTGTGCTTCAGCGTACAGACATGAGAGGGCTATCAATCGTTTCATCTTACTCTTGGCAAGAAAGCAAGTAAGCGCATCGCCCAAAATGCAGAACCATTCCTATAAACGTTACCATAGAGTTGATTCAGCATCTGTGTGAAAGTGTTATTATAAACTCAACATCACACCATTAAGCATTACTGCAGCTGAGTGCATTACATTATACAAGTGTTGCTAATATTGTGTCCATCCTCTGCATAATAGAAAGCAACAAGCTCAAAGCCGTGAAAGGTCTGACCACCAAATGGATAAAAGAGTGAAAAGGCAGAGGAGCCAACAAACAGAGTCTGTATCTGTGATAAACTATACCGGCTATAAGCCTGGGGAGAGAAAAACATGATAGTATATATATGTTCATTATTTGATCAGTCTATATCTGGAGACATTATTAATAGCAATGGTACCAACTGTATTCTTCCTGGGCTCCACACAGGACAAAGAACACTTTTATAGGAGTATTCTGAAGAACAGCAAAGTTCAGTTGTGTCATGGTGACTCCCCATTTTCATTTTTTGTTTTATTAGTCACAACTTTACTCCATTAAAGTGGGATTCTATTACATTCTATTTTAAGTTATATTAATGTAAGAATGTACTCATCCCAACCCCAAATCGAAAGCAAAGAAATAGAAAAGACATCACTTCAAAAGTGAACAAGGACTATTAGTCGACTACTAAGCAGGGTCAAATTATATGTCCTGCCTGCTGTGAGACAATGTGTAGCACCTAATTGTAGCACTTAAGGGCTAATGATGAGGACCATTGAGGCTTCATATCAGTGATCCCAGCCCACACTCTCTGCCTACATATGAATCTGCTGGGAGATAATTGGTGAAACAGAAATCACTCTTTTTAAAGAATCAAGGCTTTGATTTAAACTGTGAAATTCCAACTCAACTGTCTTCAGCCCTACCTACATTCAAATGAACTGAATCACATCATGAAGCTGAAAGATAAATGATATATGAAAGGGATCTCAGGCTGTTAGGTTTAAGAGTTTTACCTATAATTAATGAGCCATGTTCAACAATGGGATCCCCCAAACAGGACCAATTAATATGTGTCAGTTATAAATTTCACCATGTGTCTACCTAAAGTGGCTGTGTATGTAAAACACACCTTCACAGACTGACATGTGAACCCCCTGTGAACCAGGCCGGTAATCCACTCCCACCTCCACTCACTCAGCCCTCCACGTTTGGGAGGAGTCAGAGCAAGGTCAACTTTGGGAGAAATGCTTTACTCTGTCACTGTCACTTAATGCCTCTTTCCTCTCCTTTTTCCTCCTCTCATCTCTCCTCCGCTCCCACAGTTCGCCTCAGGGGCTAACATGATGCTCGCGACTGAAGCCGACTGACTCGCCATGAATTAAACATGGATAAACATATTCTCCAACCAACAGGCAGGCTGTTGTGAGGGGCTGGCTTCACAGAGGCATCAGGCAACCACTTCTATCGCATCACAGCTGCCTATCACAGGGTTCGGGTGAGTCGGATAGTTGCACAAGAGGTGTTTGGTGAGCGTATAAGTTCAAATAGTACTGGGTTGATATGCAGCAGCATACATAGTATCTGTATGCGTGTACCTCACCTGTGAGAGAAGCTTATTGTTATCATCCTCGAGGATCCGCACTTTAGTCTCCAGCTGCCTGATGTAGTTGGAGGAGGAATCTAGAGCACAGAAGAGAAGAAAAGAGGAGAAGTGATCAGCATTTCAAAGAGCTCAAAGGCCAGTGGAGCTAAAGGACCCCATAGAGCTGGAAAAGGAAAGAAGGAAATTCATTCTCGGAATGGGAACTTTCACATCAGGGTCAAAGTCTAAAATATGTGCAATACCCGTCTTGTGATGGAGCAATGATCTCTTAATGTGAAACTATCTTGACTACAATCATTAGTTTACAACTCAACAACTCGCAGAGGTCTGAATTTGCTGCTTGTAAGGAATTAGCATACTGGACTATGTGTTTACACGTCTAGTCTCAGTGAGTATCAGCAGGTAAATGAGATGCCCTGATAATCATTTTATCATTACTTTTAATAATGAAGGTGAAGATAAAATTGTGTCACTTCACAACTAACTAATGGATCATTTGAGTCTGTGAATAAGGGTTCTTAGGTATAGCAGTGCTTTGAGCTAAATGCTCAGCATGCAACATGTACATAATGGCAATGCTCACATTCCTGTTTAGCAGTTTTAATCTCAATCACATTCACCATTTTAGTTTAGCGTATTAGCACCTTTACATGTGCTCATTAGCACTAAACACAAAGTACAGCTGAGGCTGATGAGAAAGAGTATAAAGTTATAAAGTTAGAGAAATAATTCTAGCACTGCCACTTACAGCTACTTTAAATACTAATCAATCTGTCGATCTGTGCTGCTAGTCATTGTTTTAGCCTAAAAAATGTTAAATTCATTCAAAATCGTTAAATTTAATATTTTGAGCCAAAAAACAAACAAAAAGATATTCAATTTACAATCAAACAAAACAGAGAAAAGCTGCAAATCACCACATGAATCATTGAGCCCTAAATGTAGCTTTTAGTAAATACTGTTAACTACTATTAGCATTACTCTGTAAATCCATCCCCCACGTATAGTACCTTGTACAAAGCCCTCATGTGCTATAAAAACTAGTCGTAGCCTGATGTCAAGGGTCAAGCACCGAGTGTTTCCACCCGCATTAGCAGTGCTTGACCTAACTTCTGACCTCATACTTGACTGGGGCCATTTCACAGTTCGGCCCACATTCTCCTGCGCCACTCATTCATCTGCAAAAACACATCAATGCCATATTTGAGATTTGTTGCCAAACTGTCTCTATACACCTCACAAACAATGCAACTGTGGCCTAATTGCCCCGCAGAGATTCCCTCAGCTGTTATTGCTGCGTCAACATGAATCAACTCTACTGAGTTCAAACCCGGGACAGGAGCTGTGTGAAGCGTGGAGGTGCTGTTTGACTCAGTAGGTGGCAGAGAGCCTGTTATCTCAAAAGGCATATTTAATTTACAGTGGGATCAAAGCCGCACTCTGCACTAGTGGGGAACACACCGCTGCACACACCGCTTTATTTTATTTTGTTTTATAAGTGGAAGTACAGAGAGACAGAGAGTGGAGCGGCTGATGGGGAGGTTGCTAATGAGTATGCTGGGCTGAGTTAAGATGCAGAGGAGAAGCCACCGCTGCAGGGTACTGCACACACAAACATCACAGCTTGTTGCATGACTGAGGTAACTTTGACCTCAGTTTGTCTATAACTCACCCTGACATGTCGAACCAGACTGTGTGATTCATGTAACCTAGTTTATCTGCACTTTGCAACCAGGGGGCGCTGTTCTGCAAACATACAATATTAAACACTGGCAGCCTGGAATCTGTAGATTTGCAATGAAACGCACACAATCACAGATTATAACTACACCATTGTTTCACACTTTGGTGGACATGCAGTATGTTTGTATACACTTAAGATAGTGTGGCCAGCCTCCTGCAGGAGCCTGAATTATTAAACATCTAGTGAATCAACCTAGTTTCCATAATCAGGGGAATAGATAGAAAGCATATGTAGTTCGAGTTCAGCCTGAGAGTGATGGATTGGCCTTAAATATGCTTAACTTGCTTTCCAAAGACATCAAGTCTGACTTATACCAGAGATGGCAAATAAACGCGTACGTTTCCACAGCCGTACACTGTGTGCTCTCTCAGTACCAAGCCTGTCCTGTCCACTTCAGCATCAGCCCAAATGCTCCGTAGCATTAATACTAGTGCTGGGCAACGATTAAAATATTTAATCGCGATTAATTGCATTGTTATGGCAAAGTTCAATAATGAATTCAAAAGTAGTGTATTGCGCACTTTTACTTTAAAAGTACTGATATATGAACAAAAGGGCAATAACATTTGGTTCACGAGATGCAGGTAGCATATTTTATACTTAATGTGAATATAATTCATACTTTGTTGGCATCTTATTCTGAAAACCGGATGTTCGTCTGAAGAAACCGGATGTTGTCTCACGTTAATCTTTCCGCTAACTTTCAAAGTCCTTCACTCGCTCCCGATCTGTGCCGTTTAAATGCGTTTACCGTGAATTTCAGCATATAGGTGCACTAAAGTGTAAGTGTCTGCTGAGTTGACCACGGAGATCTGAGTGTCTGCTGACTTTACCGCAGCGATGTCCAGTAGTCTCCAGGGAGAGCAACAGCTGGTGCAGCTTCTCTCTTTATTTCTGCCCCCCCTCGACCAGAAGCGGAAGTCGCCTTTTCTCTACAGCAACCCTGAAGGGACATCATATCTCCAATACAAAACGATAAACATGAGACCGAGACAGTCCGTTCCAATAATAATAAATTAAAAATACTTACCTGTTTTTTTTTTTGTTGTTTTTTAATTATTATTATTATAATTTTTTTCCCCATCTCAAAAGGCTCAAGGACACACACACACACACACACACACACACACACACACACACACACACACACCTGACTATAGGATGTTTGCTGGCTTTTATCCCACTGTTCTTGTCATCCTCTTGTTGTTATGTCTATGTATTGTCTCTTTTCTTTCAATAAAACAAATTATAATAAATTTTAAGAAATGCGTTAACGTGCGATAAAATACTTGTCGGCGTTAATTAAGGAATGCGTTAACGCAAAATTAACGCGTTAACTTGCCCAGCACTAATTAATACAATTCAAATCTGATTACTGACCAGCTGCTTTTACTACAACTTTCCTCCTAACTTCTCGTGTGCATTTAAAGGTTAAAAAAAACTAAACATGCGGTGTACTAATGTGAAACCAGTGTCTGTTTTAGATTAAGTTACAGAAATTCACAAATGTATGCACAAAGTAAAAGTCAAATCCAACATTGTTTCAAACGTACAAAACTGATCCTTTTCCAAAGACGGAGTAAATGGGGGTGAATGCTAGCAGCCCTAGCAGGGCCTGCAGGCATGTCTATGTCCAACCCGTTGACCAGCGCAGAGCAGACAGTGCTGTCAGTTGGCTGGTTAGACGACGGTTGGACAGCTAGAGGAGGAGGCTGCAGTGGCCAGAGCTGGTAATCCCCTCTTCCTGCCTTGTGACCCCTCTAATCTGGATTCATCTGCTAGCCTGACCTGCAGCCAGATCTCAAGCCGATTAGGATGAAGGTTCCTCAGCCTTCAGTCTCCACCAGCACACTCAAACAACAAAGAGAGAAGGGAGAGGGGGAGGACGGCAAATTAATTCTCATGACTTTATTTCCCAGTGGCGTGTATATTTAGACTATTTACAGAGATTGAGATCTCACCATCAGTAATCCAACAAAGTCATCCGAGTCTGTCAGGCTTATTTTCATCTCCTTAGAACAAATTAACCAAAAACTAAGATAAACAATCAAATATAAATATTGATGAATTGCTCAGACATACTCTATTTGACTAGAGCGCCTAAAGTGAGGAATTCCACTGTAACGAGTAGTCTTCATCTCACTCCAAGCCTTTGATGTACCATACAGGGCCACGCTAACTCTCAGAGCATCACACATGACATGATCAAGAGGCTCCAGACAGTCCTCCTGGTGGGAGAAGGGTCAGGCAATTAAAGTGCAACTCCATCTTTTTATCCCCTCCATCCCTCTGGCGTCACATACTCTCCACACCCCTCCTCCACGAGGCTAGAGGAAATGCTGCTGATCATGCAGGGATCGCATAGCCGAGCCAAAAATAATTACCCAGCAAAACTCAGCTCAGCATCTACTCTTTTGTACACAACAAGCACCCAGGGAGAGGCAGTTATGACTTATGCATAACATGAATGCGATTGTAAGAGCTGATAGTGAGTACGAGGTGCTGTGAAGCAGGAATGTAAAAAGTGTTAAGCTAAGCAGTACACAATGCAGAGAGAGAGAGACAGAGACAGACAGAGAGAAAGAGAGAAATAGAGAGAGAAAGAGCCAGACAGAGGAACCTCTTCTATACAAAGCTCAAGTAAGCTATTTTTGTAAGTGTTGCTTACCCACTGAATTGAGCAGATGTATCTTTATGTGAGAGCATGTGTGTGTATGGACAAAAGGTGACGCAGACAGTGGCGCGATGCCGTCCCCCTCTCTGCACGTCCTTTTGTATCACGTCAGTGCCGCTGTGACCCACTTCCAGCAGCCACTCCCTCCTTAACTCTGCTCCACTCCCAGTTTCCCCCTCTTTCTGTTTGATCACATCCCTCTGCTTTCACTTCTCTGTCCATTGTGCTTCTTTCCTGCTATTAAAACGTGTACAGCTGTTTTAGAGACATTGGTCAGCTTAGCTTTTCAAGAAGGTTCTTTTCTTATTACTTTTACCCGATACGTTAAACAGGAAGCCAGGCTATCAAAATACTTGGTGCAGTCCTCTAAAGGTCATGACCTCAAATGCTTCTACTTTGTGTCCCTATCTGTCTGTTACAGCTCATTCTGCCTCTTCACCACGCCACAGCTACTCAGCATTACATTGTTTGCATGTTTCTCAGATAGTTTTACGGCCACCTGGATTGAAGCCCAACCTTGTGTCCCACCCCACTGCCAATCGGAGCTATACCATGGAGCCCATACTGTCACTAACTGAAATAATTATCAACTAATATTTGTAAAAAACAAAAGGCAATTTCAGAGACAAGCAGACAGAAGGTCTACAATACATGTTAGA